GCATTGTAACGATTGTTACCTATTTGTTGGTGAATCAATATCAATATTTTATTTTAATAATAAATGTCATATTTATTGGGTTTTTCTAGAATATCTATTTATAATGTTGATATAGCACCATAATAATCAAGGGATGGTTTTAAGATTGATATGCAACAGCACAAGGATAATAATAATAACTAGTTTATATAATCGGTCTAATGTCAGTTTATTATATTACTAATGGATATATTAATTAAAGAACATTTTATACATTACCTACTCTCAATGGTGTTTAAAGAAATAATTTGTAGAGTTGGCAGTTAGCTATAATATTTAGCAACTAACAAATGATCTAGCACCTAGAGCAGGGATGACAAATCCTTTGCACACGAAAAGATTTTGAGTGCACACAAAAAATGAATATATTTAGTACACATATTATAAAAATATATTATATAACAAAAATAAATAATATTTTTCATGGCACACTAAAAAAAAAAATGTAATTTTTGGCACTTAGCATTCAAATAATTTGCCACCCCTGACATAGAGGTTACTAAATATTTAACAGTAATAGCTATAATTTTTTTTATGGAAGAGGATCAGAGCCGTATAAGTCTTCTCTTATTTWTGCCACTGCTTACTCTAGAAAATCTTGTATTTATAAAAATTATCTCCCATTCCGTAAGTTAATATATATATATCAAACAAAAAAATTATATTAATTTGTTCTATTGGTTCAGTTCTTCTTTTATCATTTTTTTACTTGCATTCTCATACCCTTATCATTGAGATGTCACACTATCATCAAAGCTATTCAACTATTCTAATTAATACCTAATTTTTTAACTTATTAGTCCTTGCATGACTATATTATGATGCAAATAAATAATAATAACTAGTTTTAATGGTTTAATATTTAATTGAATCTATTTTCATTAGGAATTTACAATGGAACAAAATAATCATAAAAGATCAGCATTTGAAAATTCCAAAAATACTATATTTGGATATACTATTGAAATCGGAAATACCACTTATGAAAATACTTTGGAAGAACGCATACAAGCTGCTAAAAATGCTTCGTCAAGTGCTAAACTAGCACAAAAACAAATTTCTGAAGAAAAATTATCAAATAATAGGAATGCAAAAGAATGTTTAAATGTTCAAAATAAAGCTTTTGTAAAATCAATGAGCAATGCTCAAGAGTTTAGAATTAAAAATAAACAATTTTATGCATCTATAAATAAAACAGATTTTCAAACTTCATCTCATATTCCATTACGAAAAAATTTAACTAACACTAAAAATATAAACTCAAAYTTGGAATCTAAATACAATACGWGTTTTTTAAAACCAACATACAAAGGAGGTGGTTCAATGCAACTTCGATTAGAAGCTATAAAAGCTAATAAAAAGTTATCTAATAGAAATTCGCATGAATGTAGTAATACTTTAGAATCAAATAATCCTTCAAAAAATGTGAATCTTCAAGATATCCCTCATATGAAAAATCATAGTTCTATATTGTGTAATAATAATGTTCCTAATCGCAATGAATATAAAACTAGATCAACTGTACAAAAATATCTTGAAGAAGTTAAATATACTGAACACTGTGATCGTACTAAGGATATTACTAATACACCAAGTAAGTTTAAGTTTTTAATTTTATTAATTAATTTGTTATTATTAGTTATAAAATGTTTTAGAACATTGATTGCTATTAAAATTATTTTTATGCAACTATATAATTATATTAATTAAATTAATGAAAAGTGTATGATGGTAGTGCTACTTAACTAAAATTAAGATTAATATAGATGATATTGCTTAGCGATAAAGATAATAATGACAACTTATAAAGATAATATTTAGTATTATATATATATATTGATCCTCAAATTCAGATGTAAATTCCTTAGTGAATAAGAGGATATCCTTTGAGGCCACAGACATCTGCAGTAGATTTTGCTTCCTAAGTTTTTTTGACATTTTCTGTTCGAGTCTTAGCATAKCATAGAAGTTTTTCAATTGATTTTTTATCCAGGTAATTGATATCTATGAGGGGTTGCCAGTGTTATAATTAATTGGATGATTCCTCTTAAACCGCAATGCTTTTATACATATCCTTATAATTATAAATGCATTAAAAAAATTTTGGATCTTATTTATCTTAGTAGATGAAACTGGCGCCCAAACAGGATAGTTATAGGTTATTAGTGAAATGTCAGAAGGAAGATGGATAATTTAATTTGAAATTGATTAAACATAAATAATTCTCATCTTGGCATAGCCATGTGCAAGTTTTTCTTATTTATGTGTACATTCCACATTAATTTTTTGCTAAGCAAATCACTAAGGTACTTCTTATTTGAGTCATCTTTTCGATTCAATTTTTTGTCCTGGTTGTCTATATAAGTTAATGTTTATGAGGTCGTATCTTTTTAGGGTAAATATTTAAATATAAAGTACTTTTTTTTGGTTCAGATTCTAATTTCATCCTTTTAAACCAGATAATGATTTTATTTAATAGATAATGTAGTTTTTGGATTGATGATTCTCTAAATCTATCTCGTTTAAGACTTTAACTGTCCATTAAGTTTAAAAAAAGTTCTTGATTCAAACATTTGTATGTACCAATGTACCTAACTGTATATATTGTATTTTTAATTTTGTTTAATATTGTATTATTATTTAATTATGCAGATCAATCGGTTACATCTGTACAAAATAGACTTATAAGTGCAAGAGAACAAATGACTGCTAAATCTAGAAATAATCGTGAATTTAATGTTTCAAAATCTGGAATAATTAAGAAACCATCAACATGTGAATGTAAGCAAACTAAAATGTTATTTATTTTATTACTTTTTATAAATATTAATCAGGGAAAAGTACCATTTTAAATATCCTGTAGTAACATAATATTTAGACAACAAACACATTATGATATAGTAAAATTAAAACCGTTAAATTAACATAAACTAATAATAATCAATAACTATTTAGAAAAAAAAATGTATAATTATCATTTAAAGGGTACTTTATTCCTCTGGTATATAAAAATATAGACTAGATACAACGCTAAAATCTATATTATCTTATTCATCAATATTTTTTTTGTTTAAATCTGATTATTGTTATGTACCCTACTATGTTAGTTTAAAAGGAAATATTTTATTTTCGCTAAACATAATTTTAGAAATTAACTTGAAATAATTATAATTATACATTTTATTTGTATTAACTTTCAATTTCCATTGTTTTTTATCTTTGTTTAATTTTTTTAGTAGGCAATATTCACCATGATACAAATACATTGGGGCGTAACAATAAAAACAAAACAAAACGGTTAAGCCAACCTAATCAAAGTATTAAGAAAAAGAAACCAGGACTTGTATCAACCACAAAAAAAATTATTTTAAATAACAATTCCCTTATTAATAAATGTATTGATCAACAGTTATTGAATGTACAAAAAAAACCAATTGTACAGATTTTAAATAATAAGATTTCGTCTTCCCCTTCTTCTTCTGGTAAGATTTATTTGTTTTATTTTTAATCATGACTTGAAATAATTGTTAATAAAAATAGATTATGGGATAAGATATTAATAATCTAATAAATTACAGTGTCAGAAACAATTGTATCAACAAAATTGGGAAATCAATGCACTTTAACAAATTCAAAATCTAAGGAACTTGACTCTTTTAGTTTTGTTAGGCCACAAACTTCTTGTCATCAACAAACATTTGAAATTAAAAATAAGTAATTATAATAAAATTAACATTAGAGGTGGTTTTATATCTACTACTTATGATAGATGCCGCTTTGTTCAAATTTGCTTACCTACTAAATATAATATTAATTACATTTTTAATACAGTTATTCTATACTTAACAAAATCTTTTTAGTTTAAAATATCCTTGAGTAAAGATCATTTAAACTATGTATATATAATACATAGTAATACATATCTATAAATACTTCCATATTATTGTATTATCGCCTTCTTATCACTTCTATGTTTGGTTTTCCATATATTTAAGAGGACGTTCACAGAAATCTGATATTTCTGTCTTACAAGGGCATACCATGGCAAGTTTTTCACTCAGTAGATCACGTTAAGGCACGCTAGTTTAAAAATTAGAATGGATTAGCCTCATACAATTTAAAGTTAATGTCATTACTTAAGCAATGGCATTAGATTTTTATATTTTAATTTAAAACGAGTTATGAAAAAACAATTAACAATTTTATAAAAGTCAGTTCACTCTAATTTTTAAAATAACATAGCTAAACGTGTTTTGTTGAGGCCAAAATTTGCTATGTTACACACTTGTGAGATGTAGGCAATAATGTCAGTGTTAAACCCCTTTAAAAAATAAATTAGTCTATAACTGTAATATGATTTAATTTTATATAATTTAAATATTAATTAATAATTATCAAATTAAATAGGTATGTATTTTATAATATTTGTTGAATTTAAAAAAGAAAAAAAGAAATACAACAGTAGTGAATATAAAATTGCTCTTGAAAGACTAATACTAGTGATTATTAACCTACTAAATATAAACTATAATTTAAATTTATTTAGTACGCAATTTAGTAATGATGAATCTATGGAATGGGAAGATATAATCGAAGCAAACGACATAGTTGAAAAAGTAAACAACAAAATATTTTTTATAAATTTGATTTTTAGTTTATTTATTTTGAAAAATGTATTAATATTTAATTTTATAAGGTTAATGACTTGAGAAGAACCAAACATGAATATGAACCTATGGAATGGACACCTGATTCAATCATGCAGTGTGACAGCATTAATTACTGTTTAGTAATTGATACAAATATACTTTTATCAGATTTGAAATCAATTACTATTCTTATAGACAAATATTTAACTGGTAATTTATCATGTAATAAAATTAAATATTGTATGGATTATTTGTTTCAACAATTTTTTATTCAGATTATGGTTATCCAACAATTGTATTACCATGGCAAGTTTTAAAAGAACTTGACTGCATAAAAAATGGTGAAACTGCAATTGCTTATCGAGCACGTGAAGCCACCCGATGGTTATTAGACATGCTTTCAAAACGTCATCCAAGATTAAAAGGTCAACCTATGACGAAAAAATCATCCATGAGTTCTGATGATGATATTTTAAGTTGTGCCATGACTGTTAAAGAGAAAGTGAATATTGTAGTAAGTAATTGATGTCTTTCTTTAAAATATATATTTGTTTTCAAATATTTTATTCCTTTTATAAAATATCTTATCTTTGGTATGTATATAAAATATAATTATAAAATAGTATAACTCTATTAATATAATACAAAATAATAATTTTATATTAAATTCTAAAAATTAATTTCATAATCATTGAGTAAATATAGCTTTAGCAAAATGTCCCAAACTCTGCTAATATAAAATACTTCTCAATTTCCTACAATTACTTTTTGATTATATTTAAGTGGATACCACACCTGCATTCTTTGTCCCCGTTAACTAACCTACAACATGGCAAATTTTATGTATATAATAATACATTTTACCCTGAAAATTCTAAGTGAATTGACTTATTATAAAATTGTATTGATATTTTTCTTAAAATACAAGTTATGATGTTTTTGAAACTGTAAATTTTTTTTAATTTTGAAATGATCATAACTTCCTTAAAAATTTAAATATAACAGTAAAATGAATTATTATTTAGGTAAAATTTGCTGTGTTGTATGTTTGTAAAATGGTTAAACAATACATGCAGTTGTGGTGTCCTTTTATTAATTCAACATATTTTAATTAAATGTTATCTTATTTTACAGTATTTAGTTACCGATGATAAAATTTTAAACATAAAATCAGAGTTTAATGGGATACCAGTAAAAAATTCAATGTGGCTTCAAAGTTTAGTTACAAATACAAATCAAAAAAACTCAGACATTTTCCAAGGTAAGCAATATATATCACGTGATTCATTTAGTATAAGACAATCATTATTTTAAAAAGTATTAATGTTTTAATTTTTTTTTTCCATAATTTCTAGTTGTTACAACACATTGTTTTTTTCTTAGTTATATTTTTAATATTTTTATCTTTATAATTTTTGAGTTATAGTAAAATATTTTTCTTTGCTGTTTTGATGCATAAAAATTAAATTTATGATGAATTGTAGTATTTCATGTTTGGATAAAATGATTGAAGTGGTTCTCAGTTACATTATACAATTTTGGTCCACTTCTACACTCTAAACTTTAAATACTTATAACTAAGGCTTGRAATTCATTGCACTAAAAAGCTTTGAAAATTGATTGCATTATTGCAGTAAAAATACCAAAAATTGTACTGAAAAATTCATTTATTTTCATTGAAAGTGACATAAGGTATAATTAAAATAAAATATTACAAAACAAAAATTTTATTTAACAGGTTTTACTTCTGTCTTTCAGGAACTTTTTGTTCGAAAATTTTTTATATATCATAATAAAAATGTATTTACCTTAAAAATGATTGTATTGCATGATAAAAGATTTCTTCTGATTCTCAAACTCAAAAGTTATCCGTTTGGTAGACAATAAATTCTTATAAACAGAAAAACTGCACTCCATGTTGACAGTGGATATAGTTGCATACATGAAACAAATAGGTACTGAATGCATAATTCTTATGGCCATTTATTATCTACAATTTTATTGTTATAGAATATTATGTATTATTTCTTCAAAATACTTATTTTTTTCTAGAACATTTTTAATTAACATTTTAGATTTTGTAGAAARAAAAAAGTTTCAAAAAAATCTTTATAGGTGAGTACGCTTATAATAGTGACCTCATCCATTGAGGAAACACCCTGATAAAATAGTTAGAAAAATATTCTGTTTTGTATTATCAAATTAAAACTGTAAGTTGTCATTTAAAACACTAATACTTTTTTAAATAATGAGTGGGTAATGACTAAAGAATCAACTGATATATAATGATAATTAGCATACTAGAATAATTAAATATGCATTTAAAACCTGTTGTAATGTTTATTTGTAGTTACTAAAATGGGTAAATTTAAAAAAAGAATTCATTACCAAAATAACTAAATAATATATAGTTATGTTAAATTTTATCTTGGTTTACAATAAATTCTATTAGAAAAGCAATAATTGTATACTCTTTTTTAAATGAAAACGCACTGGATGGCCAAAAAATTTTGATTCTAGTTTGTGCATCTGCCACAATCCACATTGCCGCAGATACCGTGCGGCCTGCCATATACACGAGTATATATCGTTCTCATTCAAAAAAGAGTATAGTTAAATATTAATACTTGATTGTAACATCTTTTAAACCAGCGATTCTCAAACTTTTTTTCGCGTACCACTTAAGTGTATTATCAATCAGTCCACGTACTACAGTTTGAGAACCGCTAATATAAACTATATATTATTTTTTATCATCACAGTATATTATTTCCCTAATGCTCTAAGTGTAGACTAATAAATTAAGTATTTCTTAAAGCTTACAGTTAACTCATATTAGAGCCATTAGTGTTAAGATACTAATACCATTATGCAGTTCCATAGCCAAAAGTCATTGCTATCTAATCCTGTCAAGGGGGTTAATTATTTATTTAAATTATAATAAACAATTTTTAAAACATTAATAAGGTACAAGCACATATGTACACAATATTTAATCATATTTATCTGTGGGTGCAGCTATGATAAATTGTCATATGTACTATGATTATAGTTAACATTTTCATGCTTTAAGATATGAAGTTGAGCTTAAATACATTTTTTATTTTGCTAGTTAAATTGCAAAAAAGATGTATTTTTTTCTGTAACATGAATAATGAGAACTTAAAAATTATAGTATTCTTAATAATGATTRTTTTGCTTTCTGTATTTGAATAACTTGCTTTCTTCTGTAAATAATAGGTTAAATCAAATTCAGACATATTAATCTCACGAACATAATATTCGTTAACTTCTAAAGTATGTATTAGTTAATTTGATGATTTTAAACCTGCTTATGACTTTTATAAGTATAATTAATTCCATGTACATTCATAAGGAGAATTTGAAGTTATAGCAAATGATATAGAAGGTAAAAATAGAGCCTCCTAACCCACTAGATGCATTAACATTGCTTTGAGGCATGGAAATATTTTTTCTAATGTTAATAGATTATTAAAAATTACTAAATTGTATCTCTAACAACAATTTTAGCTGTTAAAACATAGAAGCTTCTCTACTTGGAAGATATATTAAAAAAATTCTATTAGTGAAAATAGTTTGRCTCAACTAAATATATTCATAGAACATTGATAATAACTGATTAATTTTCCTAGGAAAAACAGAGACTTTAGATTTCAAAATAGAACTTGATTATGATTATTATCTTCACTATGAATTATTCAATTTAATTCTAATTTCCAGGAGTCGGCTATTTATTTTATTTTTACTTAAACAATTTCAATTATTATTTTACTATCTAAAATTAATTGATATTACTTACTTTAACTTGATATAAAGTATACCTAAACTATATAGATGAAATATATTTGAGGACTATGAACAAAAACTATATTGTACTATTATTGTAGTGTTATTAAAAACATTTGTATTATAAATGTATGCTCTAAATAATTTAACTATGGTATCTTACCACATAAATTAATACAAGTTTTTTCTATTCATATTTGACGAAATATCTTCTTCAACATTTGATAAAATTGTGAGAATACATAATATTTAATCTTGCTATATTCTGAATTTTCTTCTTTTTTGTTGTCCAAAATAATAATTAATATTCGTTTTTAAATTGAAATTGCTCACATYGTTTTACAATACCTAGTAACTAATGTTTATATTTATAAATCAATTTAAGCAGTGCCGTAGCTAGAAATAGATGGGCCCCAGTGCAAATTAAATTTGTGGCCCCTTTTAAGGCGCACATTGGGTGTGGATGTAGGGGGTGCTGATATAATTGATGATACATAGATTCATGTGAAGCTTATAGCCCTCCACAGTCCACAACCCCACTAATAATATAATAATCTGCATTGCAATAATTTTAAATTTTTACTTATGTATATTCTTACTTTTTAATTATAATACAAATATAATTAATTAATATTTTAATTAATTTTTCTTCAATGCTTTGTATAGACAAATTTAACTAATAATAAAGTTGAAATTGTATAAATGTTAATGTAATCRCTACTCTTTATTTATTTAAGCTATTAAGCAACTATACGCTGTACATAATATATTATGTATTCAAAACATTTAAAAATAATTATATTATTACATGTTATTATATGGGAACTGGGGGTGCTAATTTGAAGCCTGGCTGTGCTATATTATACTAAAGTAACAAAGTGCTAACGGCATTATCATTATATTATGATCTTATGAAAAMAATTGTTATCAGCATAGATTCTTAATTCTTATATTATTTTATTTAAGTATGAGCCTCATATTAGAAATTGCAACTCGGGGCCCCGGTGCAATGACCCGCCCGCACCGGGGTTTCTACGGCACTGAATTTAAGTTTGYATGATAAAATATATTGATGAATTACTGTTTATAAGGATTTTTTTAAGGATTTTCTAAGTGACCATTATCCATATTTATCATCTCCGTCTAATATATTATAAAGTATAATATTATATTACAACTTACAAGTATGGTGATTTCATGGCAGTCAAAAAGATTTTGAGGGAACTCAAAAAATTAAAATATATAAAGTATATAAATGTATGTAACCTGCCAAGATTAAATTTTGTTAAATCTATTGAAATTTAAGATTTTTGAAATAATATTTTATACATATTAATTTAATTTTTAAGATAATGATTATTATCATAACCTATTCTATAAGTTATAGGTTTTGGCGGCAGAAGCTTTGTTCACGATAAATTTTAGCACTAAAGGTTCAAAATAAATGTTTTACTAATAGTTTTTCAATATGTTATGTACAAAACTTCTTTGTAGACAATGTTCTTCACTGATCTATTAGTAGGCGACAAAATCACCAAGCTATTGGGTGAGCTTACGCGTTAGCAAGCTACGTAGAACTGTCCATGTGAAAAACAGTTTTCTCGCAAATCTATTCCTGCAAATTTAAGAGTTTGGCCTTGAGACTTGTTTATAGTCATTGTAAAACAGACTTTCAGGGGAAACTGTAATCGTTTAAATTCGAACGGATGATCATTCGGAATTAAAGGGATTCGTGRTACAAACACAGTTTCCCCTTTTGCACATCCTGTTAAAATTGTGGCTTCTACTATATTGCGATGTAAAGCTTTGACTTTAAGCCTGGTCCCATTACACAGTTTTGGTGGTTTCAAATTTCGCAACAACATAATAGGTGTGCCCACACACAGAATAAGCCTATGATATGGCATGCCCGGTGGTTTCAATGAATTTAAAAATTCAAACGGATAATTAGTTGCATCGTCCATGTTGATCACCGTATCTATCGAAGTATATACTTTTTCTTCACCTTCAAAAGACATCAGCAGTGTATCATTGATAGCCGCCGCTTGGTCATTTTTTGGAGTGAGTATAGCACGTTCATACAACCATTCCATAGGCTTATCATGAATATGAGCATTATCTGGATAAATTTTTGATATTAAATCCTGAACCGTAGTTACAACTGTGCACAAATTTTATGGKATAGTTATCATTTCATCAAACGATGGATAATCACCATTGCCAATTTCAATTTTCAAGTAAAAGATCTGCAAATCCACCAGCAAACTTTTCCTCTCCCAAGTGTACCCTCATATTTTTTGACAGTTTGAGTATATTAATCTTAGGCCATAAAATAGATCTTTTAAGACATGACTTGACTTCATCAGTTTTGGTCCCTTTTGGTACTAATGGTAGAGTCTGCCTAAAGTCTCCAGCCAGTAAAACCGTTACACCACCCATTAACCTTTTATTTCC